CCCCAAAACCCCAAAACCCCAAAACCCCAAAACCCCTCTTGGACTATTAATAAGTGAAATTTCATAAATAATTAAATTATCATGAACAATATATTTGGAACCAATAAGCCAGGCCCTAGGCTAGTGTCTTGGGCTGAGTGCCTTCCTGCCAACTTCTGCTGCTGTCTGGACGAGATGAGAAACCTACAGACTAGTGAAGGTAAGTTTGGGGTAGAGATGCCATCATTCATTGCTTCTGTTGAGCCCAATATCCAAAAAGTACCTCTTCGAAGCGTAAATCCTGAAGTATGAACCTAACATTAAGTTTTGGAGATGAGTAGTCTTCATCAAAACTGATTTTAATGTTCAAAAGTTAGTGTTTTAGTCCATCTGGCAGGCTCTGACTCTTATCCTGTGTGTTTGGCTCGATTATTGAGACCTACTAAAGCAGGATTAATTACTGTGAAAATGGAGGAGGTGCTATATTTTTGTTATGAAGATAAGAGAAATATCCAAACACATCACTGAAGATGCTTTCTTAGTTGGATGCTTTGCTTCTGATATTCTATGAGTGCTTAGATGCTTGCAATATTTTTCGAAATATTCTAAAATCTTGTTGTTCATTTGCTAATAATTTATCTAGAATCGAATCACTGTAAAATGGGAAAATGGCTGCCAAGAAATTCAAATAATTTGGAGACAAATCAATTTATTCAGGCTTACTTCAGAACTTATTGTGTCTGAATTGAAGGTCTGAATAACTCAAGTACACTTGTAAACTCCTCAAATGCTACAGAGGCTGGTCACAAAGATTCTAAAAATGTAGCTGACTCAGGACCTAAGCAACTCGATGAATCAATAATGGAGCCTCAACACGAGCCTGAAAATTCTGGGAGGATTCAGAGAACAACAAGGCAGAAATTGAATAATTATGAGTCAGAGCCAGAGGATGAGTTCACACTTGGAAGGCCTGCTCCAAGCTATAAGACTAGGAAAGACCTCGTCTACAAGGCTGCATTTAGGAGGATGAGGAAGTATTTCACTCAAGACTTCAGAGCAGCCACTAAGCATCATTCTCCTGAAACAGACTACATATCTAGACTTAGAGAGTATTGCTCATACAAGTTCCCTGAGAGTAGCTCTGACCGAATCTGAGTTGCCTTCGACTGTGTCATCAATGCTAAGGGAAGATTTGGAGCAATTCCTAGCCAAGATACTGAACTAAAGAGCCTTATTGAGAAGCTCATGCATTTTTACAGCGATAAAATATTTAAAAAGATAGGCTCGCAGTCAGGGTTCTGGGAGATCCTACTACATTTCTTGAGCATCGAAGGAGTGGGCAGTCTTATATACTCAGACCGGAGAGTGTCCTTTCAGAGAAAAGTGAAAGCCCATCTTCATAAGCTGAAGGAGAGAGTGTTCCAGATGCGCTCTCTTCCCCATGAATAACCATAATTTTAATAAAATTTGATTCGAACTTTCTCCATTTGTGGGTAGGCTGAGTTCTTGGGCTCATCTAAACTTAGGATACTTAATATTTACGTTATGCCGACAAATAAATAGCTTAGCTTGGAATCGATGGTCAGTAAGCTTAATCCTGTGCTATGTTCTACAAGAGTTGCATGGTCCCTTTATCATTTTACCGTTTTAATTCTGAAAGCTAACTATACAGCATTCACTAAATTTTAATTTAAAACTGGGATAAAGATGGAGGTCTCAATTAACATTTCTATTAAACACGGTTTTAGACGCTTTTAGGCTTTCTAATTTTATGAGAGAATTAAGTCTGGTCTGGCTTAAGCTAGCAAGTCCCCATTTGATTAGTCAAGCCTTCTACAAAAAGTTGCAGTACATGATGAAGCAATTGTGGAGTTTAGTTATAGGTATCACTTTTGTTGGATCTATTTGCTTAGATATACAGTATCGCCCAATCCAAGCCTAATCAGTATTATGCCTCTGCAGTCTGTGTTCCCTTAATAATACCTCTGGACGTCCAAGAAGAAGGAGGCTTAAGTAAGCTTGGAGGTGATTTATTTCCAAAAGACTTGACAACTGCTTCATGCATGTAGTAAATATTGTGAATTATCAACCTAATTTGTTCTGCCAACTTTGCTCTAGGAGCCCAAGGAATTTCGAATTAGGAAGCATAATGCCTCAGTTCAAGCTCCAGCTTTATTTAGTGAGGGTCAGCCTTAATTGATGCCATTATGGCTTTGAAGTTTCTGAGTTTGCTCTTTCTTTCAGCAGTAGATGGTGAGGAGGCCTAACATGTGCACACTTATATCAGCTCCATTATATTAATAAGTCTCTAATTAGAGAATTGTGAGTCCATTGTTGGGTGATTGGCATGCTCAAATTCATCAAAGTTAATATTCCTCTTTCCTGATTTATCAAGAGAATCGGAGTTTAAAATGAGTAAACAGAAGTCATTTCTAAAATAAAGCTATACTTCGAACCCTCTTAGAGAATATTTTTATTGCTCCTGAGTAGATCTGAGCTTAACAGCTCTTAGTTATTGATGCTTACTTATCTGATCAACTGTTTAAAACCTCACCTTCGTTCGGAATCGGAGGATTAGGAAGAACTGCCTTAACCCCATAGGCCATACCAAAAGAGACATATGGTGACTAACTAAATCTTATAACTCCACATCCATATGGAAGTATTGGGATCTCCAGCATAATCTGGAGCCTTCTCGAGCTTATCTTTTGCTTATCAGCTGCGATTCAGAAAAATTAGGATGGGTTCAAATATGGCTGATTAATTAGCAAATTTCGGTATTTTATAACCTAACCGTTATGATACAGCTATGGTTAATATCTCCAACCCCAGTTGAGGTCCACTCAAAGTAAGACTTGTATGACAGAAAGGCCTCAGGGATGGACTCCATCTAATTTTCTAAATGGCTACTGCTGATATTTTTAAAAGACTTATTTTTGAAAGACTATTTTTTAAGATTTACAGCAGCATCAGGCCAGAACTTTGAAGATTTTAGAGTCTCCAAAAGTAACCTAAAAGTTTATCAAAACACTACGAGCAAATTCTTTTTCGGCTGAAATTATTTCCGGCACTCTGGCTAAAGGGAGGGTGTCTCCACAATTAACCATCTGAATGCATCAAGCCTCGCTTAAATACTTGTTAATAATAATGATATAGCATTTTGGTGAATAACCCCAGCTTTTATTTCAGACTTCAAAATAACTCATTGCAAGCGCCAGTTGGATGTAGCCCTAGTCCTGCTTTCTGAGCCCAGACGGGTTGATATGTTTCCTCAAATTTAGTAATAGGGACTCGGAGTATTCATCTCCCCCAGAATGTTGAACATGGGCAGCATTAAATGGCAGGAATCTGCTATAAAGCTTATTGGAGAGGCTTATCAAAGTGTAGTTTGGCTCTGTTAATTTTTTAAAGCTAATAGTTTACTCGAGCCGACCATAATTGCTGTTAGCCTACCATTTTAGGTAAATTCATTGACTTCAACTGCTGTTTCACCACCCGGGGTTTTGGGGTTTTGGGGTTTTGGGGG